TTTTTTTTTTTTTTTTTTTTTTTTTTTTTGTGCCACTGGGAACCAAACCCAGTCTTGTATATTCTAAGCAATACTTTTTTTTTTGAGATTGGGTCTCACTATGTAATTCAGATTGGCCTTGGACTCACTGTAGCACAGGCTGGTTTCAAACTTGCCTCAGCCTTCTGAATGCTGGGATTACAGGTGTGTGGCATCACACTTGGGCCTGCAGCTCTAGTTTTCATTTTTTCAGATCTTTACATTTTACATGGGTCTCTGAAAGTTTTAGAACCAGAAGGGAGTTCTGCTTTCTAGGCAGATAGTGTATCTTCACCTCTATGTCTACAAGACCTGCCACTAAGTAGAGATACAGATACATAGTTTGGTATCTTCCTTTTAAACCCATTTGAGGCCTAGAGAGGAGTGCATGCTTTTCAGGTAGTTGCCACATTGTAGGTGACTGGGTTATAGGAGGCAGAGTACGGGATTCCAGAGGCTGAAGAGGAAGGTTCCTGCAGTGAATTCGGGAATGGGTTTGTATAGCAATACTTACAGCGTGTGACTGGGTGAGGGGTGTGCAGACAACTCAAACACAGGAGAGGCAAAGCCTCATCCTGTCTCCTGGCTTCTCTCACCCCAGACCTGGAAGCAGAGGCCAGCCTCCCAGAAAAGAAAGGGAATACCTTGTCTCAGGACCTCATTGACTATGTGCGCTACATGGTGGAGAACTATGGGGAAGACTATAAGGTGAGATGCTCAGGCCTGGCAGAAGGAACTGCTGGGACTGATTGGGAAGGCAGTGCTGGACTATCCATGCTCTGATCTACTTGCCTAGTACATGTTTCCAGACACTGGGTAGAAAGAAAGGGAGCGATTTTAGGAAATGAGTCCCTCACAGGGATTTAATATGAACAAGAGCAGGGGGATAGATGGAATGGCCTGTGGTTCATATCCCATTCAACAAGTATGTTGTAAAAAAGCACTTGGACTATTTGTCATTTCAATTATGATAGGATTCTCAGAAAGTCCATATTTGGGTGTTTTAAACACTGAAAGATCTGGCCACTGTGGCTGTTCCCAGGTAGGATTAGTTGACTGTGGATCAAGCATGAGCTCCTTGGCTACTCCAGCTCCTATGTAGCCTACTGGATTCTTGAGTTTGCCTGGTCGATCCCAAAGGGCATTTGTACCTTTTTCCTCAGCTCAGTGCAGAAGGGTTCCATATACACTGTGGCTTTTGAGGTAAAAAATCTGGGTATCAGTAATAGGAAGCGATTTGCCCAATTCACATGGAGCTAGGATTTGAACCTCTTCAGTCACCCTTCTCCCTTCTTAGGCCATGGCCCGGGATGAGAAGAATTACTATCAAGATACCCCGAAACAGATTAGGAATAAGATCAACGTCTATAAGCGTTTTTACCCAGCGGAGTGGCAATCCTTCCTTGATTCTTTGCAGAAGAATAAGATGGAGGTTGAATGACTAGGCTGAGGCCTCCTCCTGGACCAAAGAAGCTTGAGCCAGCATTTATGACAAGTAGGGTGTGTGGCTTCAGATGAGGCTGACTTATTCTGTGGAATCAGGTTATACACATACACGCACACGCACACACACACACACACACACACACACACACACATCCCCTTGGCGAAGCAACAGTCTTTGAAGTGATAATTGAATTTGCAGCAATCTTCCTGCCTTAGACTCCTGAGTGCTGGGATTACGGATGTGTGTCAGCATGCCCAGCTCTGAGATGCCATTTTTCGGGGTGGGATGGGGATTGAACATGGGCCTTGCACGTGCTAGGCAAGCACCTCTACCATGGACTTTTATCCCCAGCCTTCCAATTTATATTCTTTTGGGGCTTACAGAAAAGCCAGAACTTAGTGTTTTCAGAGTGGACACTTTATTTGAATATAGTCTCTATATAATAAAACCAAGGATATTTTATTTCTCTGATGGATTTGTATTTACCGTTCCCACCCAAGCCCTTGGACTGCATCAGCAAATACCAACCGTGTCAGGGCAAAGAGGCCTTCCAGCTTAGCAGCATGTGCCACATTCACATGCCTTTGTAGGTGCAGCCTCCTTTCTCTGCAGTTGCCCTCTGCCTTGATTTCCTACAAGTTCTGTTTACCCTCCAACAGATGCTTGCTGGGAATCTGGGCTGCCTATAATGGCCTGCCTTGCAAGTGCTAGTTCTACCCAAGGCCAGCTGCGGCTTCATTGCCAGATGGTGAGGAGCCAGCTCTGGTCTGTCGTCCAAGTGACGTGCCATCTTGCTTTTTTGGATTGCTTGTGTTGGGTTTGGCTCAAACCTGCTTTGCGGGACTGGTGGACTGCTGTGTACCACTCCGTGTGCCGTGCACTGGCTCTATACCATGTGGCCATCCTTTGGAGCCAGCTCTTCCTGATTCAGTGGCATGTGAGGATATGATACCAGTTTCACATCAGGTTCATATGGAAGGTGTGGGGTGGACATGTTCTTAAGTCCTGATACTGTATTCCCATTAACCATGTACAAACACTCACTCCCATGGATTGTCAAGGTGGGCTCCCTTGTTGGATGTAGCCTTAGACTCCGGCAGTGGTGAGCCATAAGCACCAAAAGCAGTCTTCAGGATCTAGGCTGTGAGAGCTGTCCAGGGCCTGTTAATTTGGCTCACCACAAAATTTCAAATTCAGGCCTTTGACTGAGTTTCCCCCTTACCTAGTTTCCTTTGCTGACTTTAGGAAGCCTTTCCTCCCACAGTTCCTTGCTCCCAGCTGCTACGTGTCCTATAGTTGTCCCCTCCCTGCCAGCTTCTCTGTCAATATCATAGCCATAGTTTTGTTTTTGTTTTTTTTTTTTTTTTTTTATGTACTGGGGATTGAACTCTCTGGTCCTTGTGCTTGTGAGGCAGATGGTGGAACCATGAGCTAAATCCCCAGCCCTTTCTTAAATTAAAAAAATATATATATTTATTTTATTTTTCTAGTACCAGCAATCAAACTCAGCACTTTGTGCTTGCCAGGCAGGTACAACATCCAGAGTGCTGGGATTACAGGTGTGTACCACTGAGTCTGGCTCCTACTGTCTTTTAATTCGCTTGATATTCCCTGCCCAAGACTAAGCTATAGGGGAGGAAACTTGCCTGGGAATCCTAAGCCTGGTCCAGGTACTTGGGGAATGCTTGTGGAATTTTCCACTTGTATGGCTCTGGACTCTTTCTGACTTCCAGAATGGGAGCAGTTGCTTCCATTTCACAGCTTCTAGCTCTGGCCTCATCAGAATTTTTTTTTTTTTTTGGTTTTTTGAGACAGGGTCTCACTATATAGTGAGAGTGACCTGGAACTCACTATGTAGCTCAGGCTGGTCTCGAACTCAAAGCAATCCTCCTGCCTCAGCCTCCCGAGTGCTGGGATTACAGGCGTGCGCCCACACCCGGCCCCCATCAGAATTTCTAAAGGATGGGAGAAGGTACTAAGGCTAAAGCTGATATTCCTGCCTGTCCCACCCACATGAGTGTGTAACACATACTGATTCATGGTGCAGTTAGGACCCAGGACACTAGGGTTAAGGGTGTGTGTGCTATCCACCCTAAGTAGCCTGGAAAGAGCTGTTGTCGTCCCTTATTGCTTTGCTACCTTCTGTCCACCATGAATCATTTCTCCTCTGCAATACCACCCTGACTTAGAGCTAGCCAAATATGGACTGAAACCTCTACAAACTGAGCTAAATAAATCCTTTAATTTGTGGGTTGTGGGTATTGGGTCTCAGCAACGAGAGAAGTAATTAGGACACTTTAAGTACACATAGTGGAATTCTTTATTCTTTGTTTACCTCCCCCTACTAGCAACTTCAAAAATTGTACTACAGAATATTCATTAGACAAAAGGCAGATCTTAATTCAGAAAAGGTCCCATTTCCAACTATCAGTGCTAGTTCCAAAGATAACCTCTGAGCACTGGAGAAAAAGTAGAGTTCACAGAACAAAGATGGCAAAGTTTTCTCACCTTCCAAAGACAAGATGAAAAGCTGCCAGCAAAGTTTCAAAGGCTACTCTAAAACTCAAATTATTCCTTAAATATTAAATATAAAAGCAGGAAAAATTCCTTCTTACTGTAGAAAGTGAATTGGCTTCTCAAGCTGTAATTCCATTCTGATAGCCTAAGGCTGTACCTGGCTGTACTTCCAAAGATCACATTTATTTCTGGACTTGGGAGCTTCCTACCTGCTACCTCAGTGCATGTCTCTTCTTACACTGGCCAAAGTGTGGCACCAAAGCATGCTGGGTCGATGTCAAATAAAGGCACACGATTTATTCTCAGTTAGAAAGCAAGCTGAATGGGATAGTGCCTTTCAAAAAGTTCATTTGTGGGCCAGGGAATTTAGCTCAGTGGTGCCACTCCTGCCGGAGTTCTATCCTTGGTACTGCAAAAAACAATAAGAAACAAGTCCCTTTTGTGGCTGGTCATTATTCAGTGGCCCCCGACAGACAAAAGGCTCCTTTGGCCTATACTAATAAGTATCAACACAGAGACAATCTTAAAAAGTGGCTGATCACTGTGCAGATTCATGGAATGTGCACTGCAGAGAATTCCATAAATTCATTCCAATTTTGTTTTTGCTGAGGAATGGTCCAGGAAGGCTGACGTGCCCAAGGCCATACTATTGGCTGGTCTATTCTTTTTTGGTTTTTTGAGACAGGGTCTCACTATGTAGCCCAGGCTGGTCTTGAACTCACAGTAATCCTGCCTCAGCCTCCTGAGTGCTCGGATTACAGGCATGCGACACCACGCCTGGCTGGTCTGCTATTCTTGACTTTTGGATTCATAGAATTTTTGTGTGTGTGGTGGTAGTACTGGAGATTAAACCCAGGGCCACTGAGCCATAACTCCCATTTTATTTATGTTTTTATTTATTTTTGTTTATTGAGAAAAAGTCTTACTATGGCTGGCCTTGAACTTGCTGCAGTCTTCAAGCTTCACCTCCTGAGTGCTGGGATTACAGGTGTGTGCTACCATCATGCCCAGAACCCTTTTAAAATTGTGAGGCAGGGTCTAAGTAGCCCAGGATGGCCTTAAACTTTCATTCCTGCCTCAGCCTTCCAAGTTGCTGGGGTTACAGGTGTGAGCCATGATCAACTCGTGATGAAATTATTTTTTACCTGGATTTACATGACGGAAATCTCTCCCAGTCATTTGTTATCTACCTAGAAGAGATCTGTGTGTCTCCAACATTTGGGACTAGGGCAGTTTTAAGTTGTGGATCATTGTGAAGTAATGATCTTAATTACACTCTCAAAGGTCCCCTAGGGGGCACTACAGCTTTGACTCCATTGACATCTGTAGGTTATCTCAATATTATTCATGAAGCTTGCTATTTTTCTCAAAGTTCCACATTTTCTGTGACAATCTCCTGGTGTTTTGATTACAGCACCTAGAAACAGAACTAGAACTTTGGCTGGTTCCTTTGATAAATACATAAATAAATAAAACACAGTTCTGAGTCCAACTCCCAGCTCTAGCTGACAGTCTTATTCCCAGAGACTTGAGCTCCTTCCTTCCCCAGACTTATGTAAACATGGGCATTGGCACAGTTAGTATAAGAGTAGCAGTCTGCCTCCAGATCAGGGGGAAGACCCAAACTTCACCCTTTCTTTTGGTGGATAAACTGTACTTACTCTGTATTCAAGAGATGTGGGCAGACCAGGTCTTAAAAACTGGGAGGTATTTGGCAAGCTCCTTGCTAAGGTCTCTGGGTTCACCCCTAGCACTCTGTATCTCCATAGCTGGCAGTTACAAAAAAACATGGAAACCTCCCTTTAAAAATGATGGCCCTGGGGCCAGAAAGGCAGACTGAACAAGGCCACAAGCCAGTTAGGCAGAGCAGGGGCTGGAGGACAACGTAGGACTGGGAGCAAGGGCTCACTTCATACCACCGAGAACCTGCCCACCTGAAAAGGGCATGAAGTCATCAAAAGTAGACCAGGAGACCTGAAGCCTCTAGGGGTACTTATGACCTCTACTGATTCTTTAACCACTGAGACCTGCAGGGAGGGGACGACTAAGCCCACTGAGCATGTCACTGTGCAGGTAAGAGAAGAGAAAGCTGGACCCACATTCTAACCTGGAAGGAGCTACTCTATCTTCCCCCATTCTCTGCCTCCCCACCTCCCTGCTTCAGCCTCATGGCCACCACACTAGCAAGGGTTCTGTATGGTTCTTGGCCTTGCTCTTGAGAAGGTAAGGATGACAAGTGAAAAGTGCTGTCATGTGGCTTTTGCCCTGGGCTCAGGCTGGTGTTGAAGCAGAAGGCAGTGGAACCAGAGCTAGGCAGAGAGTAGGCAGACCCAGCCTAGGAGAGAAGCTCCAAGAGTAGTTTCCAGATGTGCACGGTGCCAGGTTCTTCAAAGTTAGATCCTGCAGGGGCGATGCTGGCCGCCAAGAGGAAAACCTCCCGCTGGCTGTCAATGGCCTGCAGCCCCAGCTCCTGCTGCAGCTCCACCACACTCATGGCTTCACTCAGGTCCTGGGGAGAACACATAAGTCAGTGGGAGCACAGCTGATTATGCTTCTGACACTCTGTCTCCCTTGTCATCCATGAAATCCACTCTTCTTCAGCCACCCCAGTGAGTATTAGGGCCCAGGTTCCCAGAAGCCCCTTGTGGACCCCTAGGAATAACACCAGTGCTCTCCTTCATCCAACTCCTTTGTACCAACTTTTTATTGCATCACCAGCCACTGTGGTAAGCATTGTGATAGGTACTCATATATCTAGTCTCTGAGTTTTACATCCACACTTAACTAAAGAAGTTGGTTCAGGAAGGCACAATCATTTAGCCTAGATAACAGTGATAAGTTGCAGAGTCAGGTTCCAAACTCAGATTGATTTAATCCCCAAGCTTTGACCTTTACAAGAATTCCTGCTCAGTTTCCTAAACTCAGTAGTGGAGGGGTCATATACAACACCCTAGAAACTAGCTAGAAGAAAGAAAAGCCACTACCCAGGATGGCTGGTGATGGAGCATTTTAATTTTAACCCTGGCCCAAGATTAAAATGATTCTTCTTGAAGTAATTCATAGAATTTGGGGATCTTAGGTGTCTCCTGTACATTCAAAGATGCCATAAAGAAATTATAAGGCTAGGCTTATGCCACACAACTGAAATCCCAGTACTCAGGGGTCCAAGGCAGGAGGATCTCCAAAGTTCCTGGACAACTTGGGCTATACAGCAAACTCAAGGGAAGCCTGAATGTGAGATTCTCCTTCAAAAAAACCTAACTTAAAAAATAAATAGAGCCAGGGTCAGGGATTTAACTGAGAGGTTCTGCCACGTGCCTCTCAAGCGCAGGGTCCCAAGTTCAATCCCCAGAACCAAAAATAAATAAATTAAATAAATGAATAGAGCCAGACACAGTAGCTGAGGTGGGAGGAATGTGAGCTGAAGTACAATTTCAGGAACACAGCGAGACGGCCTCAAAAAAACAAGGGCTGAAGGCTGGGCGTGTTGGTGCACACCTATAATCCCAGCACTCTGGAGGCTAAGGCAGGAGGATCAGTTCTACTGCCTGCCTTGCAAGCACAAGGGCTCGAGTTCGATCCCTGGTACCAAAAAACAAAATAAAACAAAAAAGTCTGTGACCTAGGTGTTATCTTCTGTAGGTACAAATTTGTTGTGAATTGTAAATAGGATCATATGACTCATTGTCCAAATCAGGGTACTTCTAAGGTTCAAAGAGGGTTGTATTAATAGTTACACCAGAAAAACAGGCATAAATGGGCACTGTCCCAGGTAGACTAGGACATATAGCCATTGTATTTATAAATAACTGTCAAGTGTCTCTTGAAGAAGGGCAGGGGGAAATTGAGGTCAAAGACACAGCTTGTGCTCTCTTCAGTAGCACAGACACACAGCTCTCTAAGCCAAGTTGTAAAAATGTCCCATGGCTCTCAGAGACACACAGACATAGGCCACGGGGAATACGACAGGCTCAATACTGTGGCAGTTTCCTTTTATATGGAAGACGGCACTTTAGTTTTGCAAGGCTGAAAGTTGTTGGGCCCAAGGGAGCCCAGAGATATGGGCTGATGGTTAAGAGCAGGAACTTTAGGGTTGGAAATGTAGCTCAGTGGTAGGACTCCTGCATAAAGTCCCTGGGTTTAATCCCCAATCCTGCTTAAAAACAAAACAAACAAATGGCAGAAACTTTTAGGAAAATCTGAGTTTGAGCCTTGGCTTTGCCAAAGTTGTGACTTCAGAAATCGAGGATAACAGTTAGTTATTTATTCATTACTGGGGATTGAACTCAGGACTTTCACACCAAATTGTATCATGACTGTCATGTTGTCTAGAACACTAAACACACAAAAGAAATACTACTTAACCTGTTCTTATCATTTTAGCTGTCTGGCCTAGAGCAAGAAGTTGCAAGGACATAGCAGAGTGGAAAAGGTATAGGTTTTGGAATCAGATATCACAATTCCACTGCTCCCAAGGTGTACAACCTCACTTAGATTACACACCCCTCTGAACTTCAGTTTCCCCACCTTTAAAATAGGAACCACATCCCACATCTTATAAGGTCACTAGAAGCCTGATAAGGACCACTCTTCAAAATCATACCTGGTATATATTATTTCTCTCACCTCTCAAGTGTGACAAAAGGATAGCTAGGGAGGCAGAGAAGAAATAAGACAGAGGATGGGATGAGAAAAAAGTATAAATAGAAGTGGGGCCACTATCTTAGACAAGCTCTCCAGGCATGGGCCAAGCCAAATTCCTCTGCAGTGTTCTTTGCCCCTGCCCAGGATTTTTTTAGTAGAAGTCCGAATGGCTTTAGTCAGCCTCCTAAGGCCTCACCTGCTTGTTGGCCACTATGACGACAGGCAGGTCAGGGTCCTTGTCTAGCAGCTTGCGCAGCTCCTGTCGGGCCCAGGGCAGCCGCAGCCGGTCAGCTGAGTCCACCATGAACACTAGTACATCCACCTTATTCACAAACTCCTTCCAGTAGAAGCGCAGGTTCTGTCTGCCACCAACTGAAGAGAGGTCAGATGCCAGTTCAGAGCCACTCTGGGCCTGACTCTTTATGCTTAGCTTTAACCCACCCATTTCCAGTGTCCCAAGGCTCCAGCAGCCAGGGACAAGGAAAGGACAAGGTTCTGAGCTAGGACCAATCAGAGTGGAGTCAATCAGACCTGAGTTTAGGTCTCACTCTGTAGGCCTGGTCTCTTAGGGCAAGTTGCAGGCTTTATGCATTAGTTCGCTCTCAATGAACTCACTCAATAGGCTGTGGTAAAATTCAGGGCCGGAGATTTAGCTCAGTGGTACTGCCAACCTGCCTCACAAGTACAAGGTCCTGAGTTTGATTCCCAGTACAAAAAAAAAAAAAAAAAAAAAAAATTCAAAGGTACCACATGCTTCACAAAACCGGTGTACAGGTGTTCTAGCTGGCTGAGCAGGACACTGGGTCCAGCAGACCCATCCTTGAATTTTCTACTGTGAATTGTACTTTAGTGTAATAGTAGCCAGCTGTGTCTCAATACCTTTCCCTGAGGGATACAAGGAGCAATCACTGTGTTTACTAACTTGGTATAATGAATGGCAAAGTGTGTGCACCTGTGCCAAAGTGGCAAACCAGGGATTTTACCCATGTTCTGCTCCATCTAACTGGTTTTGCATATGTTTACCCAAGCATCAGAGGGTCCAATAGATCCACAACAATCCAGGATGTTAAAAAAAAAAAAAAAAAGTTTTGATTTATCTAGTAGAAGTATCCCAGTTCAGGAAAACGGCACATGAAAAACCAGATGTGCAAGTTTTGGAGGAGGTCAAAAGTGAATCAGATTATTCATGCATGGATGATGATGATCCGTTATGGTAAAATACGTGCTTTCATAACAGAGGAATGGTGTGGGTGTGTGATGACAATGATAATGATGATGACTTTGACAGTGAACCAAAGTTCCTGTGATAGTGAAATGGAGCAAGAATCAACTGATACAGACACAGGTAATGCAGACCTCCTTGATTCATATAACAAAGAAAATAGCAGTGTGAGCACATATTTGACTAGTCAGAAATGTTGCAAAATGCCCAGGTGACCAAATGGAATGAGTCAATGTTAGAACTAGGTCTGAAAATATAGTGAGGGTCTTGGCAGAGGTGAAACATATTGGACAGAATGCCAGCACTAACACTCAATCTTGGAAATTGTAACAGACGAAATGCTACAAGATGCTGTTAAGTACACAAAGGCTGAAATGCAAGTAAAACATTCTGTATGCATCAATGGCCATATTAAAAAATGTATTTATGACGCCTTACTAGCTGAACTGAAAGCATTCATAGGTCTGCTGTACTTAGCAGGGATTTCTCTTGGTAATCACAGGAATGTAAAAGACTTATGGAAAAGCAGTGGGTCAAAAAATGGCATAAAAATGTATGCCTTTGTAGATGCAGACACATTATACTTTCAATTTATTTATTTTATTTTTTGAGATAGGATCTCACTGTATACTTCAGGCTGGCCTTGAACTCATGGCAACCCTCCTGCCTCAGCATCCCAAGTGCGAGGATACAGGCATGCACCACCACACCTGGCTATACTTTCAATTTAGACATTTATCCCGGAATTCAGCCACCAGGTCCTTATTTGTATACTAATAAACCAAATGATGTTGTGAATAGAATTGTTGCTCCCATCTCCCAAACTAATCAGAATGTGACATTTTACAATTGGTGTAATAATTGCCAATTGATATTACATTTGCTAACAGAGAACAAGTTGATCACTGTAGGAACTGCAGCAGAAACAAAGCAGAAATTCCAAATGAAATGTTGCAATTTCAAAACAAGGAAATGTACAGTACAATCTTTGGATTTCAGAAAGATTTACATTGGCCTCTTATATGGCAAAGAAAAACAAACTGGTACTGCTGATGTCAACATTGCACCATGATGGAAATATTGATAGGTAAATCTCAACAAAATGGAAGTCTGAGATGGAAACTTTCTACAACAAAACCGAAGATGAAGCAGATGTTGTTACACAGCAATTATGATGTCACTCGAAACACAAAACATTGGCCAATGATTGTGTTTTACTTGATCCTAAACGTGTGCATAGTTTGATAGTTTACAAAGAAAATAACAAGTGTAAACTATCAGAGAAATTTTCTTAGAGGCTTGGGAGTGGAACTCATAAGAGATAATTTACAGCATAGGAAAAGCAAAATGTTTCTGCCTAGGGAACTATGCAAAAAAATTGTGGAGCACACTGGTGAGCTCACAGGTGAACAGGCAGCCACAGCATCACAAAGACCTACTATGTCAACAGGAAAACCAAAAAGATGGCAGCTGTCCTATAAGAAAGGACAGGAAAACAAACATACATGCTTTCAGTGTGATACTTGTTTATGGAACATGCAGTTGTCCTGTGTGAAGACTACCTTGGGTGTGACAGTTGAAGCAAAGATTATTTCTGTGGTAGACTTGTTTGTGTTTACATTGTAGTTCACACAGGTTTTTATATCTCATGTTATCTTTTAGGTTTTATAAGCAAGTAAAGAGCTGATGTGAAAATGTTGACGTCTATTCTAAGCACTCATTATATATGATATTTTACTAATATCTTATTTCCTAGCTAAGTGTATGTTTTAGAATATAGTAGGAAGCTTTTAACAAAACAGGAAAAGAACAGAGGTATGGCCTGCCACATAGGAAAGGAAAGCTAAGCACAAGAATGGCCTGCCACATAGGAAACGAAAGCTAAGCACATGTCCTTTCAGTATGAGACGTGCGCATGGAACATGCAGTTGTCGTGTGTGAAGACTGCCTTGGGTGGGACAATTGAAGTTTATTTTTGTACTACAATTTTTTGGGGGTGGGTGTTGAACTCAAGGACCTTGTGCTTGTCAGGCAGTCATGGTACCACTGAGCTACAACCCCAGCTCAGAAAGCAATACGTGTATATGGAACATGCTGTTGTCATGTGTATAGACTGTGCTTTAGGTGTGATAACTGAAGTAGAGGTTTTCTTCTTTTCTTTGGTACTGGGAATTGAACTTGGGTCCTTGCACTTGAGGCAGACAGCAGACTCCCTAGCCCTGAGATTTTTTTCTTTGTACAGTGCTTTTGGTGTTTTCTTTGTAGTTCATAAAAGAATTTTTGAGCCAGGGATTTAGCTCAGTGGTTCTGCCACCTGCCTCATAAGCACAAGGTCCCAAGTTTGATCCCTGGTAGCAAAAAAAAAAAAAAAAAAAAAAAA